TGGAGACTGATGAATTCGGTGTTGGTTTTCCTCGAAATTGAAAAAGAAAAGAAAAAAGATTGTTTGCACTGATGATTTCCGACAAGTAGAATTTGGTGTAAATTTGTTATTGCAAACGCCCCAGTGATTGTGCCAGCGCAGCAATGCAGGCAAGGTGGCATTTCGTCATTTGATAATCGGTATCATTTAAGACAATGGCATTTCATTGGCTTTCAGTGAGTGCAGATTTATCATTTTCTCCTCCATGAGAAAAAGCTCCCATCAGTAAAACAAGTTTTGTATTGGCAGCACTGCTGTTAATTTTGATGTTAAACAAGTTGCAAAATTGTGTACAAAATGTATAAAACAGTGATTACCAATAGTGCATTTTGATTATTTCCACACTAAAATTTGAGGGGAAAAACCATAAAATCTTCTTTTTGGGGGGCAAATCAGACTTTTTAATCTTAATCTGATGCTTTATTTAGGCTTACAACGTTTCCTCAGATCAGCTAACTTCCCCGTTTTTCACTTCACACTTATGCCATTAAACATCGAAAAACACTGTACAAAGTCTTGCAAACATTGTAGTTTCCTCTTTTTTGTTACTTCCAAGTTGCATGCCTGGATATTTGGTGTTTTCAGTCCATGGAATCAAGAAACAAGATTCACCAGGATTAAAGCACTTTGAAAGTTGGTTTCCAAAGAGGATTATTAACAGCTTCGTAGATCTCTTCAAAACTCTCCTCGGCACTTAAAGTTCTAATGATTCAACCCCAGCTTGTCCTTTTATTTGGGGGGGGGGGGGGGTGGATTTTTAGTGCTCCTCTACTTGGTCTTGTTTTCTTCTTCTCTCTGGATCGGAGCAAACTGTCATGAGGATGATGGGCGTCCTGACTTCCTCCCATCACGTCAGGATGGAGGAACACCCTGATCTCTTAATCAATATCACAATTGAAACTGTACACCGAACGGTAGCACCTGCTAGCCGGGCCGCTTCCTGAGAGACGCACTTCACCCGCCGCACTCCAAACCCCGATTTTTCTTCTTCTTCACTCGCCGTTTGTCAGTTGAGCCGTTCCTTTAGCTCTGTCTGGCCGTGCATGTCCGCATGCATCACGGCATCTTCCGTTGCCTCATTGGCTGCTCATTTTTTTTGGTGTTCCCCATCCCTGTCCATTAGTTTTTCTCCCCCCTTTTTTCTTTTTGTGTTGTGTAAGCCGGCCAGTGAGCGTGTGCCCGCCATATAAACCTGTTTGTGGTCCCAGATTGATTATAATGCATGCAAGGCCCCACTTCGGAGGAAGGGAGTCCCTCCAAAATGCACTTGGCATCAATTTGGGCACAAATTGTACATTTACATGTAACATCCGAAGTGCCGCATGGTCATACATGAATTCCAGCGCGTCGCGGAGTTGGCGGTTTCTTCGGATTGATTGGCGCGAGCGGTGCTGCATTCGTTAAGGCTAATCTGGTGTATCTTGCATCAGCTCTCAATTGCACGTCGCATTTGCCAGGGGTTTTTAAGCCCCTGTTTTAACGGTCGTCTGATTTTTTTTTTTTCAACCGTCGTGGAATCATCAAAATGGATTATTGTTGTCTTGTCGCGGTGGATGTTTTTCCTTTCCGCAGGTCCACGCAGCCAAAGTGTTTTCTTAGGACCAAGTTATTACCGTGCAGTGATTTATTCATGGCCACTGTACAGTCCTGCCATGCATTCTTGACTTGAATCCATACATTTTCAGGTTGAAATAACAGTTTTCAACCAGTTAATCATATTCAGCGGTGTTGGGTTACATTGGACAGAGCTACCTGGCAGCTAAGGCAAAACTCTTCTGTCCTGCCAGCAATAATGGGGTCACAATCAAAGTTTTTTTCTCCTTCTTCGCCTGTCCCTGTAACATGAGGGATCACGAGTCTTGTCACTTTGTGATTCTTGTTTAATGAATCCCGGTTGTAGCTCTGAGGTACAAGTAGGCGTAATGGGTCTCCGCTAGAACCAGATTTGATGTTTTGCATGATCCGAGGCTCAGCTCGCCTCGCTCGCAACCATTACACCGCTGCGCGTCAATGCCGTCAACTTGTACCTGTTACGTCCTTAACGCTGGACAAGCGTAGCCTGGGGGATGCTACCGCTCGGCCCGATCCTGTGTCTCAACATTAAGGCCCATCCGTTGCATTATAGATAATAACTGATCAGATTCGGATCTGAATTCTCAAGTGTTCCTGGCTCATGACAGTGTGGGAGGCGATCCAGAGACATAATGGAGTTGATCTTTTTTCCCTCTTCTTTTTTTCTTTTGAATGACGTGAATCACAGCAACTGTGATTGCTTTAATGAACTTTATGGCCTGGAGAGCTCTGGCTTCTCTTAGCTTGATCTGTATTTCTTTTTTTCCTCGGCTTGATGGCCAAGCGAGCAAAGTATAAGCGGGAGTACTGGTTTAGCCAAACTGATTGTCTGGCGACTTTGACTTTTTTTTGCTCCTCATCACCGAGTGAATCTGCCCTGCCTCAAGCCCTGCAGGCATTGTCCAAGATGAAATAAATTTCCTTTAGATTCTTGTGTCATACTCTTCCCTTTTCCTTTGCTGTTCATTTGCCCTGGGTGGGCCCGGAGCAGCGTGTCATTCCTGGCGCTGTTATTGTGTGCGTTTAAGACCTTCCAGCCATTTTCATCAGCCAAAAGTGTGTTTGTGTATTCCACCTAAGCAGCGAGGTTTTTTGGGGAGGGATTTTGTGTAGCCACCCGGACTACGAGATACCCAGAAGGAGGGATCTTGTCCGCTGATGAAACAAATTTTGAAAATAAGGACACTTCTTACTCCTTACTCTTTTTTTTTTCCTCCATCGTTCTCTTCTCCTGTAAATCATGAGTAACAAGTTTACTGCTGGTCACAAAAGGTCAGACTATTTGTAGTATTTTTAAACCTGAAATGGTCTTTTTTTTTTAGCAACGTGTTCCAGGGTGAAACAAGTTGTTTACCGATCGCCCGCTTTGTAAATGAAGTTAATTTTGCTTGTTCATACCTGGATTCTAATTGAACACAGTTGGCGGGGTTCCCGCGGGACCGTCCCAGAGAGCCCCACCCAATTAAAAAGGGGAAGTTGTAGCGCTGGGGTAGGGTCTCACAGGAAAGCGGCATGGGGTCGGCTGGGCTCTGATTATATGCGTCAGGTAGGACACCTGTCTTACGAGATTTGCCCTGAGAGTATGCAGCGCCTGAGATAGCGGGTCGTAAAAAGCATTGATGTTCATTACCGCATTTTGGCTGGTCATACATAACGTCGGCGCAATGCAGACAAAAGACACTGGTGCATAAATGGTTAACAAGGAAGGGAGGGGATATAGTCAACCCAGGTTTGGACTTGGTCAACTGGCTTTGACCAACATTGTCTCCGTGCCGTAATGCGGTGACTGGGACCCGTGATTTCGCCCAGGCCGTCAGACTCGACCACAAGTGATGACCTGATAGCAGCCGAATCTAGGTCAGGGGTCAGTGTCCTTCCCAGTGACTGGGGGCTGATTGCAAAAATCTGCCAGAAAATTGACGGCACATATATGTATTTCTCTACACTGGCTTGCGAGTCACAGTTCTGGCTTGTATAAATCGAAGCAAGATAGTCTTGTCACATTTAACACTCTGACAATGCTGTTTGAGTGTTCATGAAAGATGTCCTACATGTACATCTCACCTGAAAAGCTATGCAGTTTTCAGATTATTTTCCTCAAAAATTTCTGGAGTTACCATTTGTGGGTTTAAAACATGTTTTGCTACAATTGATGATTCGTGAATAATTAAACAGATGGGCAGATATTGCGCATTTCAGCAGTTGCTCATATAAGTCTGAATCTTGAATTAGTCATAGACTTTTTATCCTAGCTGATGGCTTTTTTCTTAATCGCCAATTGTAATGTATAGTACTTGACATCTCAGTGTAGGCTTTAAGCTATGACTCAGAAGAAGAAAAAGATATTGCTCTTAAGATTTTTTTTTTTCTTCGCCAGTTCTGTTTACCTCGAAAGAGTGCGTATCTCAATTAAGATGAAACTAGCTGAACTGTGCCGGAATGAAACGGTAGACCTTGAGATGTCTGTCCATGCGTATGTTCATTGCCAGCTTTTCATCCTTAATTTTTACGTGGGTCCGCATCGCAGTCACAGCTCACATCTAGTTTACTGCTAATAAGACGAACTAGACAACTTGCCAATAGCTGGTTCTTTGAAATTAAAAGTGCACAATGAAACTGTCTATTGACTTTCCAGCATTATGTTCTTGTCATCTTTTCTGAGTTGGCACTTTTGAGTCTTTATCATCGGTACTCGGCATATTCAGCCTTTTGTCAATTCCCCCCCCCCCCCCCCCCATTTTTTTTTTATGAACATTGATAATAGAAAATGGCATTGACATATGAAAATGGACATGAAAGATTGGTCGACATTATTGCCTGATTGCTTGTGTGGTTTTTTTCCCCTCCTTTTTTTTTGTGTTTGGTTTTGTTTTGAGTTGTCTGCTGTATTTGTGTCAAATATAACAGACACAGGTAAAAGTTATTAAAGAAACATGTTCTAGAACAAATCTCTCCATACATGCAGTTGAAGTGACTGTAAGTTTAGCTGCAGCAAATCGTACTCTTTTTTGGCTCCTTCCAAGACCTTTCCTTCGGGACTCTAAATAACTTCTTGTAATTTATTTTCCACTTTCTCCTTTTCCTCCTCATCTTATGACGTTAATTACCAGAGTAACCTCATTGGGCCTGCAACTCCTCCACCCAAGAAAAAAAGCAAATTGCTAATGACAGGTCGACTTAATCCGTTGGTGGGAAAGTACATACAGGGTACCCCAATGAGGCCGACTGAATGCCTTCAGGATTGAAAGACAGTCAAGGGACAAAAGCCTATGGTGTTTTATAGCGGGGCTTAACTTTCTCCCATTCTGCCATTCTCCCCCCTTCCCCCTCAGTATAATCCTCCTCTGTTTTCAGTAGGGCTAATCCGTCTTTGTCTTTGTTCTGGACAGAAATTCCAGCAGAGGGGAGCCGGGCCTTTGGCAAAGTGTGCTCAGGGATTAAAGAAGGAGGGAAACATTCTGATGCATGAGGAGATTGCCGAGTCATTTAGGAAGAGAAGAGTGGAAGAACGAGAGGGAGACAGGGGGTGAAGTGGTTCAGCACCCTGGTCCCTTCCTGGTGGGGCGTGGGCGCTCAACTCCAAGGATTAATTTTGTTACTCGGCCAAGGCAACCGTGTCAGCTGTGCAAGCCAACGGAGATGAAATAGACCGTGACAGGTATGTGTGCCTTTTGGAAGACAGAAAGAAAGAAAAACCTGTTGGTGCGGAAATCTCAAAAGCAGTGACCATTAAATGTTGTAGACACGTTTCTTTATAATCTGTGCTTTCAAGTTAGACCTTCTTTTGAGTTGAGAATTTGCACAACAATGAGGGGTTGTTTCGTATTGCATGGAATATCTTTAATGCAAAGACTTTATTCTTGAAACGCGAAGTCGTTTGAACTGGACTTGCTGTGAAGACACATGATTTGACTGGGGAAATGTGACACTATCTAGCTGTTCTATAGCTTCTCTCAGTTTTTCTGACGAGGGTCTGTTCACTCAATCTGGCAACAGATTGTCAAAAATGATACTCAAAAGCAGGGCCTGATCCTTAAGAAAGTAACTGCATCCAGTCAGCCACATTGCCAGTGACTCTTTAACCATGCTTCCAAACAAGAAAAAGCCAGGCCTCATCACTTGCAATCATAATTTACTCCCAACTGCTTTTAATTCCCTTCCCTGGCATGACTCCAGAAAGCTTCCCCAACTTCACATAATTATATTTATATGCATATCCATCGCCCTTGACCCTATTCCCATTTTCAAAGAGATAAACACATTCCAGTCCCCGTGGTCCCCTGCAAGACAAACTCTGAGCACCGCCGCCGCTGCTCTAAAATAATGATGGTGTGCATGTGTCGTGAGTGTGTGTGTGTGTGTGTGTCAGCCGAGCAGCCTTAGGTTTTCCCCGGGACCGTGCTATTCCATTGTTTCCTTCCACAAGTAAACTCAACCAATTATGCCCCGCTTCACTGCGGTAATTGTCTTCCCAACCAACCACCAGCCGGCAATCACGGTACACCACAACCTTGTCTTTGAACTTTTTTCCTTTTTTTTTCTTTTCTTCATAATATCTGTCCGGCGTCTATACACATTTTTTTTTTCTTTTTTTTCTTTTGGCATACCAGCCGGGGTGCTGAATAGCCAGTTTCCAGCTCATTAAACCGACCCATTCTAACAGCTGGTGACTCTGAATCCCATGGACCCTAAAAAGTCACAGGGCCCTCTCTGTCTCTTGGCTCATTCTGTACTGTTTCTCGGGGACAACTTGTGTCTGTACACTGCTGCAGGAATTAACAACAACCAAAAACGGCACTGCTTGGGCACTGCGTGAAGTAGACCAAATGAGTAAGTGAAGTCCCAGTCTATTGGGTCAGTTTGTAAATTCTCAGTTGGGCAGTCAGCTTAACAGATTACAGTCTGTGATGCAGTGATTGGTGGAGTGTTGAGTGTTTCACCAGATTAAGTTATTCTTGTCCACCATTGTGCTGTGAGTCCGGGTATCGTGGGCACACAAAACACCACCAGGCATGCATGCACACATATACAAGGTCAAGTCTCTGTTTTTTCTGACATATTTGTTTCATTGTCCCATGTTAGTTTTTCCCCCCACCGATGGTGTCTTTGTTACGGTACGACACCATTGTCTTTCTGCCAAAGGGGGAGAGGGGGTTCCAGTGAGTGTCAGCCATGCGTACCCGCGCAGCGTAATAGATGCTTTATACTCGACCAATCACTGTTCACAACTCACTGAGTACAACTTCAACAAATGAAAAATTCTTGTTAATCAAACCTGATACTACTCCTTTTTTTAAATTTATTTGTACCTGGAACATGGTCCTGTAAACGTGTTTGTTCTGGGCTTTTGAAGTTCCCTTGTGCAATTGATCACTGTCGAAACCTACATGTACAAAGGAAACTTTGCAAACCGGGGTTTCTATGTATAGGTTAAAGTGCATAATTTATGGAATGTCTGTTTTATCAAGGGAAAGAACTCCTTTTTTTTTTTTTTTTTTTTTTTTTGCTGTCAGTACAAAAAAAGTGCCTTGAGCTTTGTCTCTTTTTTGGTGTCGTTTTGAATCAGGTGATTTTATTTTTTTGTCCGAGAATTTTTTTTTTTTTTCATTGGCTATGTGAAAAGATGTATTCCTTTTGTGGAGGAAGTTAACAGTGAAATCAAATCAACATGCAAAGGCCGAGGAATTCAGTGAGATATATTTAATAACATGAGTGGAGCTGTTGTGTAGTTTGCATGCATTTACTTGAAGGAAGGAAGCATTTCAACTGCAGAATGTAACTGCGGAGAAGAATGGCCACAAAAAATAGTTCCATCTTCTTCTTTTTTGGGGGGGGGGGGGTTGGGTTGGTGATGTAAATTAAGTTTCTCTGTCTCTGGACTTACTCTCTAATTTCTGTGATCGCATCGACATCCAGTGAAGGGGATAACCGAGTCACATAATTGTCAAGCCAGTTGCTAAATCCAATATTTCTTCCATGTACGTGTATGAGGGCTCATCATATCATGGGATGAATCAATCAATTTTACTTTAGGGCTATTTTCAGTGCCATTGGAAACTTGGCATTTTTCGTTTCTTTTACACTAACCCCCAAGAGCGAGTGAAAATCATTTTAAATTGGAGGATTGAGGACTGTTAGGGTCGTGTTTGGCAAATTGGTGGAATAGGTTAGAAAGATTTGTGATATGCTACTTTTAAAGTAACAGAAATTACTGTTTTTAAATCAGGGTGTGGCACTAGTAAACAAAGCACTGCACCGGCTTGCAGCATGGAGCTAGAAACACAGGAACTGAACTCTTCATCATAAAAAGAATGATGATGAGGACCTCTTAACAAGTTAATTGTTGAAATGCCATCCACTTCCAGACACAGGAACTGGGCTGTGAATCAGCAAGGGTGACATGCCCATCCCGTGGGGAGTGGGGAAAATGGGGGGAGGGGGTTAGGAACGAATCAACAACCAGACACAATGTCTTTCTCTTTTCTTTCTCTCACCCATGCTCTACTTTTCTTGTGTTCTCCCCCCCCCCCCTTCCCTCCCATTCCCAGTCACTGCAGTCAATGGACTGACCCCCAGGTGTCCAGACTTGAGAGTGACCAGACCAAAGTGCATTGCCCTGGTCTTAGGGCAGTCTTGTGGTCAAGCAGTGTGTGTGTGTGAATTGAAAAGGGGGACAGGGGAGGGAGCACATTGCCAGACCCCGGGGACCTTTTGAGATCGGGGATGCCACCTGGGATTAGGCAACTTGTCTGTTTGGGTTGGATCTTCAGGGATGCTTGTACTAGCTGGCATGATCCATGATTAACAACTCCCTCGGCCAAAAACAGGGAAAGTTTTGTTTCTGGTGAAAACAAATATGTAAATTGCTGTTTAATTTTAGAACTTGGTGAAGGAGAATATGTGCATTTTTATTTCAGGTTTTTTTTTTCTGAAAAGAATGGGGAAAAGTGGGAGTAGTTGTAATTCAAACGTGCTATCATCAAGGTGTGGCACCTCGGATTCACTGCTGCATCTTCTGTTAAGGTGCCAGACCGGTTTTGCATTTGTATCCGGAAACGAAGAAAAAAACAGGAACGGACAGCTCATCAGAGCCGCAATTGTTGAGAACATTTTCCTGTTAAGAACCGTCATCCACTCTGAAAAGGTTAATCTTAATCCATGTTTCGCCAACACACAACTGTGTGTGTGTGTCTCGAACTAGTGCATTTAAATGCCAGTGACATTTTTATTCTTCAAGGAACTCATGAACCTTTGAACTCAATTTTTTTTTTTTTTAATTGGTGAATCACCCCCCTGTAAGGCTCTCAACACTTCATATTGTTTTCACATGCATATTGATTCTGTCCAGGCTCTTATGTGGGGCCCAGCCACGGTAACGCTCTGATTCTGTCAAAGATTATGCATGACGATTTGTATCTGCTTCCCCGGTAGCCTGCGAGTGTGAATTGTTGAGGAGAGTCTGACTAATGATGGTTACCATACTTGTTGGGTACACCTTGCGGTTCTTTCAAAAAAATCAAATCAAATCAAAAATTGATCCGGAACAGACATGCAACTTGTCCTCTGATATTCTGTGCCATAAAAAAAATGGAAAAAAAACACTGTTAAATGTGTTCTAGAGCAGAGCAATTTCCTCTCTTTTTTTTGTTGGTTACCTCCCTGTTGCATTGCTGTGAAAAGTTTCAGGTGTTTTTATCGAACAGGTTCAGTGTGAATGATTACGAAAGAGGATGCAGTATGACTGATCCGAAAACATATTTTGTGGTCAGATTCGAAGAGCCTAAAGATAGTCAATTTGATACAGAGTGATGCACTGGCTGATACAGTTGTCACAGTGATTTCACTAACGGTCCTTTCTTGCCAAGTGCAAGCTCGATAAGAGCAATCTTGGCAAGCTTTTTGGAAGAGACGACCAAGGATTCCTAAACCCCACCACAAAATGCATCCCAAGAATGGCACTTTGAAAACTACTTGCATCGCGAAGAATTTGTAAATCGCCTGCTAATGTGATTTTTGTGGGTTTTTTTTTAATGTTACCTGCATTAGTTCACTCAGGTACAAGTTATAAATCCATGTTTACGTATTGACCCAAATACCAGGGCCCAACTGTAATTAAATGAGGTGATGAAAGATTGATGAAAAGACCAGAGACTGAAGGAACCCCTCCCCCCCCCCCAAGAAAAAGACATAAAAACTGAATAAAGAAAAAAAGTTTTTTAATGAGTTTATTGCACTTGATACAGACCACCCAGTGCTGGGGAAAATTGGACCAGTTCATCTTACAGGCTGCCAGCTAATAAACAACATGGCAAGGTTATTCCACTCAGTCAGGGGAAAACTTTCCCATGAGGTTCATCCAAATAAAGACAAACTGTGGAGATTAGAACGGGTCATAGGTCAACACTGGCCCTACCTGTTTGGATATTAACTCGGGATTAACCGCAAGAATTTTTTTGTTGGGGGGACCTTAGTGTAAAATGAAAAGGATTCATGCAATGGATTAACAGTAAACCAACAATAATACGTAAAGGGGACAATCTTTTGTAGACCTGCGAGCTGCTTGAATGAGAAGAGCGTACATGTTCAAAATCTATTTGAAGAAAGAGTCACAGTATGTGGCATATGTAAATGTGACCAGTCATCACAAACTGAGCATGA